GATCTAAGACTGTGAAGAAAGTGCAACATTGCAAAGTCTGGGACAAACAACTTTTAACGTGCAAATTCCTTATTACTTTTCATCTTCAATAATATGTGTCAAAGTATGCTGGAAAATTGGCTTGGTTGATTAGTGGTGGCCCAAATATTAACACAGAGTAGACAGCTGCAGGAGTAGTGCCACAGGAAAAGGGGGAGTTATTCACATAGGCTAATGTTAGCTTTATGCAGACTAGCTCCCTGGTTGTGTGTAGTCTGTCAAAAGAGATAGGCTCTTCCAGAGGATGATTCAAAGTGGCTAATGCTTACCACTCTAGAGAAGCTTTTTTCCTCTCCATTAATTTTAGACAGGATTAGCGTCCCTCAGCTAACATTAGCCCAAGTGAACAGTCCTCTACATGTTGTCAGTAACATGGAAAAAAACCCACCCCAAAATTATGTTGCTTGATGTTAACAGCATTTAAAAAAAAAAAAAAGAGAGATGAGATTTCTGATAAAGCATAGCTGGATTTTATTCCCCTTTCTCTGGTCTATGTAGGCAGTGACTGTTACCACCAAAATTGAGAGGACATAAACAGAAACAAAGTAATTTAGAAACTAACATCTGGAGGTCACTGTTCTGACCCTTTTTTGAGCAGGGTCACCCTCAAAATTAACTCTTAATGCAGTGAAATTAAAGGGTTTAGAATTATGAAGTGTATCCAGGATAGTCCATCACATCTTGAAGAGTGAATAATGGGTACATCTATGGCAAATATTCTACTGTCAGACACAAGCATTAGACCAAAACATGGATAGATGGAGCTGAAAGTACTTTGAAGAGCTGGCCTGTTCTCTCACATAGACATCCTGTGGCCATATGCATCCTTATCTCCATTCTAAGTGTTTCCTCTGTCATCACTGACGTAAGAACACCTTCCTCTTCCACTTGAATGAATGAGAAGTGGACCTCTTTTACCATACGAAATTAAAGATGACGTGTTTTGATGACAGAAGATAATGTTGTCCCACAAGCAACACAATCCTGATTTGCTGAACTTCAGCACTTTAGCTATATTGCCAAAGTATCAGTCCCTAACTCCAGCATGACACACACAATAAAGGTAGACAGATGGAATCAGATATTTGGGAAAGGCTAAAAAAAAAAAAAAAAAAAAAAAAAAGAAAAGAAAAAGAAAAAGAAAAAGAAAAAAAGTAAATGTAAACTCCTTCATTTACTATTGCTGTGTTGTCAGAGCTCCTTTAGTCTGGGATGCCCTGCTTTTCAAGAGTTCATTTAGAATGAGAGAGAAGAAGCAACAAGTCCATTTTAAATCTGCTTTTTCAGCCTTGTTGCTGCCTTTCAGTGCTCGAGTGCCTTTGTGCATTTTTTCCTGACCTACGCAATTACAACCCTGCATTTCGCCCATCTGACTTGTGTTTCCCAATTTCACCTGTATTTTGTCTCTTCAAATAGCTCTGTTATTTATGGCTGATTACTAACCATTCCACTGTGTGTCTGAACCATCTGAATAGCAGAAGATATCTCCACATGAAGTGGAGGCTCTTACATCCCAACTCTCTGATTACACAGAAAACCACTTTTGAAGATTACATAGCAATACATAAGCAATACTCCCATAAAATACAGCCCCTCATCCTACAAGCAAGCTGATTAAACCCACAAGAGCTCACATGTACAAGACCTCCAACCAGCTTTTGCCTCACATGCAATGCTTTACTGGGTCTGAAGATTCCTCCTGATTTGTAACTCCTCTTAAAAAAAAATGAAGAAGCATGCAGTAGTTCTGCAATTATGCGGTAAGAATCAGCCATGTAACAACTGTCAGACAGAACAATGAATGCAATCATGAAGCAATTAGAGCAGGCAGCAGATGGTTTGATGCTCTTTTTTTCTCAAGACTGGCAGGAAAAAGTCATGACTGAATAAGGGACTGGTCTGTCAGCAGTGGTAATTCTAGTCTGCTGCCTAAGGCAGAGACACAGGGGAGAGATATGTGAACAAAAGCAACTGAGTCACCAAAGCTTAATGAGTTACTGCTCATCAGCAGAACCCCAGTAATTAACCACATTCACCCACACACAACACTCAAAAAACTGGGACATAAAATTACTTCAGTTAGGACAGATTTCCCTACCATTGAGTAAATTCCTATTTAACCAAACAAAAAAAGATCTGTAGTACTTACCACAGTGATAGACTCAGCGGGCTGTAAAGAGACTGAGGGATGGTGGTATGTGACCCATTTCCTGTTCATTACAACTGAGCAATGACAGGCATGCACTAACTGCTGGCTTTGACCTCATCAGTCCTGAAATGGATGGACAACTTCACAGAACCAAAACAATCCAGACCCAATACGATTCCTGTCTCTCCAGCTCTAGCTCTATTCACCACCTGATTCTCCTAGTCCCACCTGCTGCAATGACAAGATGCACATGGATGGTGACAATGATGTGGCTTGCTAGAAAGATGCAAGCATTTCTAGTTGAATCTCACCTCCCTCCTGACTGTCAACAGTAAAATTAAATGAGTGCAACAATCCTAACTGGTCAAAATCCAACTTACACCTTACAGCCCCCATCAACAAAACCTTCACAGCCTTTTCAGTCAGTGGCATCAAAGTCAATGATGTCAAAATGTAAATTACTTGCCATGCATATACATTTCCCTTGCTTCCTCAGGTGACTCTTAGTCAGTGCACAAACAGTGCCTGGAATCCAAGGAGTAATGGGTTCTCTTTCCTTACATAGAGCCTTAGCATGAGATCACAGAATAGCAAATGGCAGTATCATTTGTTCCAAAGTACCCCACAGCTCCCATTGCAATTACCTAAATACCTGCAGGACCTCTTAATTATTATGAGAAAATTCTGCCTTTGGATATACAAGCATGAAACCAATGGGAGTCATTTACTCTTAGTCACAGGCTGAACTTGACCCTTAGTTTGAGTTACATTTAATTTAGTCCAAGCTGATTAATACTTACTGCCTGTTGGTTACCCTTTATGGTTCTCGGCCAAAGCTTGTTGAAGTTAGAAAATGTATCCATTAGGCTTTAAAGCAGAAACCAGGCCTGTGACTCACCCACACAGAGTACTTTTAAAATTCTACTGTAAAATTAATTGGTACTAATCTACAGACCTTGTGCTACATGATTTTTCTCTTGCAACCACAGTACTGAATTACCAAGTTATCCAATTTGCTAATCAATGCCATAACACAAAGAAATTTTATTGCACAGCCTGCAGCCTCTCACCCAAGATACCCCCCATACACACAACTCTGACACCAGCCCCATAAATTCAGGTTAAGACACAAAAGGACCCTTTGTTCTAAGAACATCCTGATTGTTTTTTCTGTAGAGGAAGAGTGGGAGTTTCCTATAGAATAGTGACAATATACTTGCTAGTAACCATCTACCATGAATTAGATATGGACTCTAATTCAGAATTATTTCCTGAGCAGGCTGAATACCACAACAGCTGAAATTCTTTTTCTACTATACCCTATTTTTATTTGACACATTTACCACTGAAAGTTTCATTGATTGTCATGTAATAAATTCCCTGTTACTAACACAGTCACTTTCATTACAACGGATCCTAAAAGACAGTAGAGACCAGATTCTGAACAGTTTCGTATCAGTCCAGAGAATTCAATGTCCACAAGGGAAAGGAAACATTCTGACCTTGTCTAATTACATAGGGAACACCCAGAAACAAGTTAACCTGCACCTTCCTCTGAAAAGATTATAACCACAGTACACTCTACAAAATGCTATGAGAGGGGTAAGTAAAAAATATTGCATGCAATTTACAGAAATAATTAGGCTGGCAAGATGCATTTCTCAGTTGGGAATGACATTAAACTACAGTCCTGGAAGGATACTGGTTTTGAGTTCAAAGCACAGGACTGAACTTGTATTCTAAAAATTCCCATAAAATAATTTTGTGACCTTGCCTACTTTTCACTTCCTTATGCCTTTCTCAGGCTTACAGTAATAGTAACAAGCCTAATTTAGGCTAAGGACAATTAAATTACTTCGTATAAAGGCTTACATACTAGATTCCAAGATATTTCACTTTTACCCCTGTTCGTAGTTCAGCAAATTGTTTTGGTCTTTTTCCAGTTTTATTCAAAAACATGAAAATGTCAGGATGCGAAACCTGCCATTTCTCAGAGCAGCTTGCTCCGATGACTAGTTAATTCATGGTTGAGTTTATCTACCATTGACTCCTAGCCATCAACTCGTGTTAGAAGTTTTCTTGCTAGATCAAAATGCTTACTCATATGTTTTGTCTTTCCCCATGGAGATATTTATGCACAATATAGTTTCCCTTCAATCTGCTTTTTGGTAAACTAAACAGATTGAGCTCTATGAAGTCCTTCACTGGAAGATGACTGACTTGTGAGTATTGATGTGCCTGATTTTAAAGGAATTCTAACAATCTCTTACAACCAAGCCCCATTTTGTTGTCTCAAGTTGGGCAGCAAAAAATGAAGGCAAATCTCACAGCATATTTATTTGGTTGATGGATTACCTGTACTGAAGGAACTGGACTTCAAAGGAAATTGATTCAGTGCTACTTTTCTCTCAGAAAATCAAAGGCTACTTGAAAATATGCCAACCATATAGGAACAAGGAGTTCCTATTTTATACTCTTCTTGGGGCTGGTGCTAGTCTGGAGCAGGAGAACAGTTAAATAAGAAGACAAAATGCCTCATTAGAGATTGTTATTCCTGTTGTGAAGGATCCTAGCTGTCTTCTCTGCCCATTGCCTGTCACGTGATATTGCCAAAAGGACTACGTGCCCATGCCCTTTACATTGAGGCTTATTCAGTGTTTCTTTCTTGGAAATATGAGTTTTATATTTCCAAAGAGGGTCCTGGTTTCACCCCAAAGATTGTAAAGAATGCTCTGCAGCACCTACATAGAGAGATGGGGAAACCCTACGTTCTTCCTAAGCAAACAAACAAAATGCTGTCAACAATCCTCACCTTCTGATCTTGGCTGTATGCTAAGATCCAATCTTCCTGCTTGGGGTGGAAGAGCAGACTGTGGATGTAGAAGTTCAGACGGTATTTTTGATAGGTGGCCCCTTCATCAGAACTGATTAATAAACTGCTCTCAACTTCTGGATCAGTCAGCAGCATAATCTATATGGAAGACAAAATGAAAATACAGTGGTGAACAGGAGTCAGATGGAAAAATAACTAAGCAGCTATGAACTTCAGATAAGCTTATTAAATATGTCTATTTCAGAATGTTTCAAATGTAACGTCAAAACTAACCATAGCCTATCTTTCAATAAGGAAAACAGTATATTTCAGCTATGTGTATAACACATAATATATGATCAAATAGGCAGAATGACTTTACCAGTAGTTAAAACAGGCCTAAAGGAAGCTATGCTTAGGTTATCTGAAAAATCAAATCCGAAATTTGTAACACCAGAGTGCAAACTTACTAAATTACCAGACAGCCACAGTGGGCTGCTAGGGTCTTCATGAATGATCTACTGGAGTGGCAGACAAAAAGTTAGGTTTTTTTTAAAAAAAGAGAGACAGAGATAGAGGAAAGAGACACACACAGAACAATCTCTAATGGTGAGGTTGTTAGACTCTGCCAGAATTTTCAGAGAAGATGACAGTTTCATTGCCTGAAATGTTATAACCTGGCTGTCTGCAACAAGCAACCTTGCTTTGGCAGGAGAACACATGCTGGGTTCTTTCCATCTCCAGTTTCTTTGGTGCTGTGAATTACAGATTTGGTAGCATATCAAAAATAATCTCCATATAGTAAAGTTGCTTTCTAGTTTTGTCCAAGACTGTTAGTTCAGGAGTGACAGAAGATATACAGCTTGCAGTTGTAGTAGCTACTTCTCTCCATTAACTCTAGTACTAATTGGTCTGCATTAGCAATGAATCAGAGAATGATGACACACTCCTCTCATGTGTCTCTGCATGACAGAATATATAGGTTTGAGCAGTAGAAAGAGATCATTCCAGTATTTCAGCAAGCAACAAAGTAATACCCCTAAGGAATGGGAATGAGGCACCCTGAATGACAAACATGAAAAATTCTGAAGAATATTTGCCTGGGAATGTATTAAAGCCTTGAATCATTAGTTTTTGGTTGGTGGTTTTGTTTTGTTTTGGTTTTTTTTTGTTTTAAAGTACTGGTGCTGCAGTTGCTTCGCAAATGGCAAACACTGATCAAGCCTGAAATGAAAGGATCCACACCTGGCATTTCTCAGAGCAAATTCCTATCTGGGTCTTGGGCACTGCAAAAATCACACACTCCCATTTCCTTCTATTTCATTTAGATTGGCAGAGTTAGACATAACTTAACTCACTACCTTTGAATTATAAGGCACCATAAGTCTTGATAGACACCAGATGCTAAAGAACTATTTGTATGTGAATGCGTAAATACACATATAATCTATATGGTGAATGTCCTTCATTACTGAGTAACTGCCAGAGGTTTTTTTCTATCTCTAGAAAACCCCTTGGCAGCATAACAACTTGACCTGTGACTTCAATGTTTGAGGTTCTTCAAAATCCCTGAAATTTAATATCTTGAGTGATCGCAGACCAGTTACGTTACCACATTAAAATAAGGTAATATTTCCATTGTAGCATAAAGGCACAGTCTCCTTTAGTATCTCTGACTTACTTTAGAAATCTTGTGATGAAACCATGCATTATGAGAATTAAACATTCTTATTTTCTTTTAACACTTTCAAATACATCAAGCATATCACTGACGTGACTTCTAAACTGAAGATTGCATGATAGAAACCGCACAGAAAGCATTAATAATCAAAATGTCAATATATAGATGATTTACTGTCACTAAGTAGCCCATCCAGCTTCTGAAGCCAAAAATTGTCATCTGTTTTTTCTTACCAGACTAATTTCTGGGACAATATTCTTATGGTTAACATTTACCAGTTCAGTACTACGATTCAAGTAATATGATTTTCCTATTTTTATTACTTCCTTCTTGAGCAGATTTTGTTTATGTTGGTATTTCAAAATATCACAGAACAGCATTAATTTGGACTACAGCAACTAGAGCAGAAATAAGCACAAATCAATGGGCTTAATCCAAGCTCCCTGAAGTTAATAAGAGTCTTGTCATTGACTTTGGATTGTGCCTCTAAGGCAAGCTGTTAATCAAGATCCACTCTAGTCTCACATATTTCCTTCTACCTGCACAAGGAACTCATCTGACCTCACCACTGTCACATCCAAGCACATCACTGCCTTAGCACATTTTCTGTCAGGTCACTCTTCTGAAGTGTGAAAGTCCTCTTATCTCCATTTCTTAGAAAGGGAATTGAGGAACAAACTGTTGAGGCACTGAAGCACCTAATTGCTCACTCAATCAATAAAAGTTAAGTGCCTAAACATACTTGCCAGCACTGCTGACCATGACTTTAATCTGCTAACTACCACCCTGGGCTATTACTATCGTGTTTTCAGGTATCTAAGGTCTCCAGAATCCTTGGCTGTTGCATTGTGATAATCAAACATTCTGTACATATGAAGTGCTTCAGGACACACCTGTTTTGCTACATATGCCAATTGCAGCAGTGTATTAAACGTGGCAGAGCTGTGCAGAACTGCTGCAGATTTATGAAAGGGCACATAGAGAGTTGGAGACAGGGGAGGGAGTTGAAGGATGACTCTCTAGCCACTAGTCAGATTGTTAACTATGAGATCAACTTTCAGTGTTGGGACAGCATTGTCTGCTCTACTGCTGTACCCTGTATTGCAAATCGCTTTGCAGATGCCATAAAAACAAAACAAGATGGTTGACTAAAGTCACTACTCACATCACAGTCAGAGCACCATGTTTCTTACAAGGTAAGAAAAGCAAATTTAATTACAGCATATCTGCATATAAATATTCAGAATCAGAAGCCCAAAAGATAGCATTTATTGGATAAGTAGCACCAATTGATACCTGTATGAAAAATCTGTGAAAATTAGAGGGAAGTGCTGTATGTAAATGCTGCCTTTCAGATTAGACCAGGATTGTGCTTCTGAAATTAATTCCCCAAGTTTTTTTGGGAAACTTCTATAGCAAATCCTTACATACTATGTTCTGGCTCACACCACAGTGATTTCAGAGCACAGGAACTAAACTCCTTTTCAAAAAAATGAACCAGAATACACATTTCAGGAGTGCATCTAATGTGCTCCAACCACTACTGGACATTTAGTTCAGAGTATCAGGTCAGCATTACTCTAAAGTCAGACCCTCTGCCTCCAAAATGCCCACACTGCAGACAAATATCATCTCAACATCAAACATTTCATTCTACAAACCGACTTACACTGAGTTGCACTACATGCTAATGTAGTTGCAGCCACATTAGCTTTGTTTTATTGTCTAAATTGCCTGGAGCATAAATGAGAAAGAAGGGAAAGAACAATTAATTTTATTGGTTTTGTTGTTGCAGCATATGAAATACAGAGTAAATACATTTTAGAATTTTCTTTGAAATAAATGAAGCCAATTTCTCCTTTGAAGTAGTCTATTACCCATTGACTTGATGCAGTTGCTTATACAGAAAATAAAAACGGACACAGAAGTGTTGAGCAGGAAAAGAATGGAAAATAAACCCAGAAACAATAACAAAGTGAATCTAAGTTTACAAGACAAACTTTAAGATTATTTGAGAACAGAGATTAGAAATAAACTATTTTTATAATTTCCGACTTCACTGTAGAAAGCATGTAGGATTTGATTAAAGGTGAGCTCCTCAAAGGGGTGATCTTGGTCTGTTTCTACAGTGCCTAATACAACATATTACTGCTTTCCCAGCTAACACTGGTTTCTGGACAAGTATATTCTGGACATCATTGAGGAATCAACATGAAAAACACATCTTAAATCTATCCAGATTCCTAGAGCCTGTAGGTAAAGACAACCTAGTTGATGAAGTCTAATCGGATTTTTGAGAAGTTGCCCTGCCAAAGGATCTGAAATTCTCATGGGATAAAAGACCTTTCCACAGATTAATTTATGGTTAGAAGATCAGCACCAGGCATTAGGGAAAAATATTTCAGTACTCACAATTGAGAGAAATGTTCTTCTGGAATTTCCCTGATGTTTTGTGCTATTCATTTATTCATTAACAATTTGAAATGAAGGAAGGAAAGATAGGTGACAAAGTTTGCTGATGGCAGTAAGATACTTTGAATGATGAAAGAAAAGCCAGCTACGAAGATCTGTGAAAGTATTTGGCAATATCGGATACCTGAGCAGTAAAATGACAGGTGAAATTCAGTGATGATGTATGAAAAATAAAATGCAGATGAAGAAAAGTGATCCCAGCGTAACAGGCAGAACAATAAGCTCTGAGTAGATAACTCCTTTCAGGAAAGGGCTCTGGGGGTTTCAGTGAAGGGCTCTGTAGAATAGAAGCTTAGTCTTCAGATGCCATGAAAAGACCTCAATTACAGCAATAAGAATTACTAGGGAAGAATTAAACAGCGCAACAAATAATGCTTTTAGGCCACTGTAAAGTGTTTCCACAACTTTAACACTGGGTGCTATCCTCATCCTCCATTTATAATAAATAAAGGCTCTAGTAGAAAAACAGAGAATAGCAATTATGGTGATCAAAGAAAACTATGAAACATTTTTCATACAAGCAGCAAATAAACAAACTATTCAAATTCCAAGAGAGATAAACAAAAGGCAATTTGACCAAAGTCTACAAAACTATCAATGACCTGGAAATGCTTAAAGAATAATTATTCACTCTGTCATAATACAAAACTAATTAGCACCAAATGAAATTATCAAGAGTGAGATACAAAACGCAAGTGAGGCCATGACAAGGTAAGAGCTATGGATGTCATCTATCTGGACTTCGGTAAGGCCTCTGACATGGTCTGCCAAAACATCCTTCTCTCTAAATTGAAGAGATATGGGTTTGATGGGTGGACTGTTCGGTGGATGAGGATTTGGTTGGATGGTCACATCCAGAGGGTAGCAGTCAACAGCTCAATGTCCAGATGGAGATCACTGACCAGTGGTGTCCTCAGGGGTCTGTATTGGTACCAATACTATTTAATATCTTCATCAATGACACAGGCAGTGGGATCAAGAGTACCCTCAACAAGTCTGCAGACAA